GAGGATGACGTTGTAAGTCGTCAACTTTTTGAAGGCCATAGATAGGCCTAAATAAAATGTTTTTAATTGTGTACCAGTTTAACGTTGAATATTATTTATGATTTTAAACTTACAGTACTTTTAACATTAATCAAACGTAAATAGGATAACATAACAGCATCTTCTTACATTGAATGATCTTATCTTTACAGACAACTAAGTTAAAAAGGAATATCGAATCTAAAGTGCAAGATAGAATATGAGAATGAATACTTTAATTTGAGTTTAGTTATATATTATAAGTATTTTTAAAAGTTACGACTTTTACAGTAAGGAAGAATATTTGATTCAATTTTATTGCTATATTGTTGAATATTTATTTAAATGCAAAATCTTTCTTTGCAAATAAAACCTTCGATACTGTAAAAGCGGTAACAAAAAAAGAATATTAAAATGATAAAAATGTGCTTTAGTATGAGAGGTAGCCACAGAATTAAAATTAGAGCTTAAAAACAACTGAGGAACAAACGTAGGTGCTCATCCACTCCGTTTCTTACACCTACAAATACTATTCACCGCTTATAGACTAACAATACAAATTAGAAGAAGAAAAAAAGAGAAGCACGACAAAATATGAATGAATATTATAATATGAATAAAACTAAGATATATTGATCTATAAATGCCACTACGTCTTCAAAATTTGTCCTCGAAATTCTAGTAATGTAGTACACCACTCAACATCTTTCCTGAACTGTACAAGTTATTTTAAATACATATGTATACTATCTCTCAACATATACTGTTTACTAAAACAAGCATGATATAATTGAAGTAGTATATATAAAAAAACGTATTTATTTTAACAGATTTGGACAGTTTTTATGAAGCTTCTTGTGAAATACGAAATAGGAAATAATACAATATACAATACTCAAACTCATTTCAAATATTTTAACATAAATCAAAGTAATAGCTTTTTAAGATATTTTACATAAATGTCGAAAGTATATTTCCAAATCTCTTGATTTCCTTCATCTGCTAGTATCATTCCTTCATTTTTTACACATTTAAAGTATATTAGATATTGTAAAACATGTAATAAACTGAAATGTTTTCTTTCTAAAGTATGCCTTTTAATTATAATTGATAAGAGTTAAAGATGATGGTTTCAACAATATAATTTATTTACATATATATTAATTATAAATTTGTAATGCTTTTGATCTACTTGCTTAAAGCTTTTAAATTTATATATTTTTTCTATAGAATACATTACGGAAAGAAGACTGTCGTGAAGTTGGTTGTAAAATAAAATGTAGATGAATGATGATAACATTTTGTGCATGTATAACAGCAGAATCTTGTTATTAAAAAGTTCGATGAATCTAAGAAAAACAACGAAGTATTGTGGAGGACGCTTGAGAATAAAGATGATTGAAATCTAAACTCTAGAAATGTTGTTATTTATAGACCCACTTAATATTCTTACTTTCTTACTAATATTAAAATTAATTTCAAGTTCGTTTGAGAATATAATATTTATCTATGGTTAATATTCTTAGTCTGTGTAATCATATACCAGGTTTTTGATGCTAAGATATGCTTGCGTTGGTACGTCCTTTTGTTAAAGTGTCGAGCAGTGAATAGCAGTCTTGATCTCCACTTCTTTATAATAAAAGTGAAATCCCCTCTAATTTACTACGAAATTTAGTGTAACAATTATATTTACTAATAGTACTAAATAATTAAATAAATTAAAAAATAGATAAATAAATGACTAAAAACACAAACACTCACATATATCTTACTATATATTAGACGTAGCGTCTCCCAGCATCTATCTAACAAAACTACTGCGCCATCTGTTGAATGGCACCACAAACAAAAATCCATAAAATAATTCACAATTTGGGTATTCAAGATTCAGACAATTAGAAAAATAACTGTGGTATGTGCAGCAACCATTTCTTTATAATCGAACAGAATTGTAAATAAAAGTACTCTCCTCACAACACTAACACGACTTTGACTGGAACTGTACCTGAGGGTTTAATTGTATCTTTATTGATGTAATTTTGAAATGTAGTACTGAGAAACTGGAATTCGTAAAACCTGCCATTTTGTCGATAAGAGGTACCACTTTTAATATATAAAAACATCACAGTTAAATATCTGTAAAAGTTATGATTAATCATTTTGATGCAATGAGTTGCGTATGACTAAAGAGCACAATCGAACATTTTTTTCCATGTAGAACTTACCAGAAAAATTATTATTATTATTATTTTTTAGAAAATGTTCACAATGAGGTACGAATACTACGATTAGTCCCCCAGTGGCACAGCGGTAAGTCTGTGGACTTACAACGTTAGAAACCCTTTTTTGATACCCGTGGTGGGCAGAGCACAGATAGCCCTTGGTATAGCTTTATGCTTAACTACAAGCAAACAAACAAAGTCACGACACTACGATGAGTAATTACTAGCATAAACAGCCGGCCGTAGGGTTGCTTTTTTGCTGGTATATATATAAACAGCAGTGAGAGTCCTACCGACTTATTTGCCTCTCATAGAAATCGTAGAAATGTTAATTTTACATGATTTTAACTCAGATTGAGAGCTGGCTAAATAATGATCGAATCCGAAACTGAAATTATTACAACATTAATTTTTCGTACCGAAAAAAACAAAAAAACTACAAAGAAAGAATAAAATTATATTTATATATTATATTTAACTTTTATTTTGTTTAGAGTTCAAAGTAAATAAGAAGATAATTATATTCATATTTTTTGAGTAAATAATATCATAAGACAATTTTCATTAATACCTAAAATCTCATCATTCAAGCGAGATTTAATAAAACATTTCTTCTTTGTGACAACTTAGGAATTTCAGTTTAATGAGCAAATATAACTTTTTAATGCTTTTTATCAGTGCAACGAGTAAATACAGCTATCAATAGACACGTTTTTATTGAGTTTTACCTTTATAACGCATGTAACATGTTTTAGTTTGAAACAGAATACACCTAATTATCTCTTTATACTGCTATTTGAATGATCTAACGGGATTTTTTTTATTTTTTACAATTCTTTACTTGAAAGGGCCCTCTAGTGACACAGCGTTATGTCTACGGACTTACACTGCTAGAAACCAGGTTTCGATACTCGTGTCGGGCAGAGTAAAGATAGTTCATTGTGTAGATTTGCGCTTAACTACAAACAAACAATACTTGAGGTGTATATGGAGATTTAGAAAATTTACTGACTTTTAGTAAGATATTAAACCACAGCTGTTTGTTTTGCAAACAATTTTATACAGCTGTTGTGGTGTTTATATTGTTGGTGTTCCTATGATGTACTTAAACTTATTCCTGTTATTGGAAAGTCAAATGATGTTTACAAGAACGTATGTTATATAATTGTTAAAGGTAATTGCAAATATGCGAAATAAAACAAGATACATAATTTTTCAAATTTAACATTTTCATCCAATTATATGAAACTATTTTGCTTAGAAATGAGGTAAATAATAATATAAACATATATATTAATGAAAATCTGGCAAATGTCAGTATAGTGATGAAAATACACGTAATTCGTTTTTGTTTTTTGTGAAGCACGAAGCTGCACAATGAGCTGGCTATTTGTGCTATGCTCACAGCGGGTACGAAAACTAGATTTTTAGCGTTATAAATCCCAAGACTTCCGCTAGGAAACTGGGATAGAGAGACTGCTAAAATAATTTAACAAACGTATTGTTATCATATGATGGAAATATAACTTCTTAATTTTACAACATTGTTTGATTAGTCAGTGATAATTTAAGTGTTTTGATGAACACAAATACTAGTTAGAAATATAAAATAAAGGAATAGTAGTCCAACTGATTAAGTTATAAATGTTTATTTTTCTTGAATATGAAGTAGAGTTCATTATTTTGTATATCAGTGTTTAATGCGTATATAGCAGTCTGACTGGCATAAAGTTTCTCTGACAATTCAGAAAGCGAAAGTACATTTTATAATATGTTTCATAATTTTATTATATGTTTTTACAGTTTTCTTAGTTAAATTTTAAAATATTTTCGTAGAAGTATGGTTCTTGGAAAACTTGGTGACTGTATAATGTTTTTATGAAGACTGGTTTGCATTGTTGGTTTATTATATGACTTAGATGTTATCCAAAAATTTTTTAATGTCACTTAATATTTATAGGTACTATTGGGATTCTGTCACAAGATATTTATATCAGTAGCGCACCCAACTAATAAATTACTTCAAATTAATCATGTTAACTTTTAAGTTCGCAAATGGGTTTATATTATAAGACGTATACGATTCTCTTTTTATTTGATTTTGCCTCTGATAATTAGTCCGTCAAATGTTATTTAATAACTACATCTCGTTTTATACATACATGTATATTGCTAAGTGTTTCTTAATAATTCTCACTATTAAAGTAACAAATAACACACAGCATTAAAATGGGTACACAAAAACGTTTTTAATTAAAGCCAATCTACGGCGTCCAAAAAGTTGACTCTACATGTTTCGACGAAGATTGGTTTTAATTTACAACGTTTTTAATTGTATGTTATCCATTTTAACGCTGTGTGTTATTCATTACTTTAACATTATGCACAAGTGCTAAAAAATAATGCTTAATATTTACCACTCTTCAGTGAGTTCAGCTTATCATTTAAAGTTTCTTTATATTTGTGAACGATTTAGTCGGAATAAGCACTAGAGACTAGTATATGGATAATATCCTTTACATTACTACTTCTCTTCAAGTGCTCTTGGTAACTCAATGGTAAGTCTGTGAGCATATAACGCTAAAAATCGGTTTTTGATACCTGCGGAGCACAGATAGCCCATTGTGTAGCTTTGTGTTTAGCAATATACTAACAAATTAGTTCCACACGATATTTTAATCATCACAGTATATACATTGGTACATTTTAATTTTCACCTATTACTACTCACTTTTGATTTCAGTACCGCAATTTGTAATTTCAGTTTTTATGAAGCAGCACAAATTGTTTTAGAAATCTTTGTCACTTTTCTACAAGTTTTCTGATGATTGTTGTTTAACAATGTGCACTTTTATGACATATCCCTATATAGGAGTCTAGAGTTAAAATTAAATGTGAAGCTAAGCTGTATGTCTGTGGACTTATAACGCTATAAACCGGGTTTCGATACTCGTGATGAGCACAACAAAGATAGCCCATTGTTTAGCTTTGTGCTTAACTACAAAGAAACAAACAGTTAAATGTGAATTTTAACTCTATAACAGGTTTTAGTAATATATTTAATTTAAAATCGAGGTACTAAAGTTTTTGAAGACACCATGTGTTAGGGCTACAGATACTGGAGCAATGTTAAATATGCAAACCAGCAAGTTACAAGACAAACAGATATATATAACACGGCAGAGGAATCTCTTGTGCCAAAACTACATTTTACTATTGTTTAGCATTTCGTATGTACTGTGATGCCACCGAAAATTGATTGCTTTAGCGAAGGGCGTGTAAGAGCCCTTTCCGAACACAAAATATACATAAACTCAAATCATAAATATCTGTTCAGACGGGTGACTTAGCGTTTCTAAGGCGAGACCGTGACTAAATGACATTGGAAAACAAAGTGTGTAAATCAACTTGGGGCATCTGGATCATCCATAACGATCCCTGCAACAAGTTGTTCCCTAGTCTTTGTAAGCAAAATGCTATACCTTTTAACAGGTGAGATTCCAGAACAAAGGTCAGTGGCAAAAGTCATAAACGTGCTCCAAGCAACAAACAGTAAATAACATAACCAAAAGGGATATCCGCCTGTAAACTAGTCCACCGTGTATGCATTCACCAAGATAAAGCTTCCAGTCATACCTCCCGTTTAACCGTCACATAACTCAAGTAGCTGGAGAATGAAATAGTTATTCATGCTATTCCGTAGCACCTATAATTTTTCGACCGCACTCGGAAGGATCGGGTGCGGTCGACTCAGAACGGGACACCAAGCCATATATGCCGGGAATGTGGTCGAGGCTTCCTGGCTCGGATAGGACTCCTGAGCCATCTCCGTATCCAAATGATGTCGTGGTCTTCTTCGAACTTCGAAGGACGAACAACAATAATTTTTTGTGCGATCGGAATGTTGAAACAACTGCTGGGAAACCGTTGTCTTCGTACATCAGACAGTCTTTTGAAAGTAAAAAAGGAGTATGGGTGTGCTTTGGACACGACAGCATTACGACTAAACCTTTTGCAAAAAAAATTTAGAAAATACATTTCAGGGCTATTGTAAAAATGCACGGTAGTAAGATAGTTTATGACCGGACGTGGTGACATGGACTGTAACAACATGGCGAGGCCATAAAATCGTTTTAATCTAACGTACTTAACGTGTACATCATAATGTGATAGGTTTGATTCTTTATTTTAGAATTTTTGTGCAGTACTACACAGGGCTAGCTGCATATAATCGCCCCTACCTTTGAGCTGATAGACTAGAAGGAGAGTTTATAGTCGAAGGTACCCATTGCCTTCACATAGACTATTCTTTCTGGTCCTATAGTGGGATTTGACCATCACTCTTATATCATACCCACCACTCAAATGTGCGGACTCGAACAGTGCGCCAACCACTAGGACGCATATGACATTATGTGATAAGGAGTGCAGTGTAATAAATCCAGTGAGGAAGCTTATTTCAAAATAGCTGATAATTCATGGTTTTTTAGCCTTGATGTCGATTCATAAATACAATTCTAAACAGGTAATATATAATTTTAGCCACGGTACAGCGGCTCATAGAATAGCTCTGAGTTTGTTTTCTTCAAGTACGAACTTTTAGCTTATAGCTTCATCTCTTAACCGATTTGAAATCTAATTACAGCCGCGGCTATTGAGGATTCCCTCTTGTTGTTAAGGGCATATACCTATGTGTGTGATGTGAAAATTTCGTGAATACAAGTTCTGAAACATATCTCATATCAATTTTATGATGAAATTGTTTTGTATGTACCAAGTGAGAAGCAAACTGAAATATATTCAATAATCATTGGAAAAACAAGTGGTTATTAGGTTTACTTTCTTGTGGCTTAGCAGTAAATCTGAAAGGCTTTAACCATATACCTGCAGTCAACACAAATCAGATAATACATTGTGTAGCTTCACGCTTAAACCAAGAAAAACATATCATTTTTTAATGTATTGATTCGTATACTTAAAAATTTTAAAATAAGTGACAATAGTTTAGAACAAGTAGTATACTTTAAAAACATACTATACAAATTCTGTCCATACCTATGGTACTGGAAAGTGTTATCGTTATTGATAACGTTTAATTTTGAGAAACTTTATAGGACCTTTTCCAAGCCACATCCCTTAATTAATTTTCTATACTCAACTTATACATATTAACGAAGCGTATGATATTTTTCTCTTGAGTTTCTATGTTTTAGAAAGAGGATATAATGTATTCACTGACTGTTTTTGTTCATGCTCATGTTATGCAAATTTTTATTGTTGGTGAAGAGCCTTTCCTCTTGAATTATTCAAACAGTAAATGACCTGTACTTTAACGTTCGAAAAGATAGCTTAAAATCATGCGGTTTCATACGTTATTGTTTCTTGAAGTATTATTTAAGGAAAAATAACTTTTAAATAATACATGATACGTGTATTGGAAATATATTTTCTAATAATTAAGTTAAGCTAGGTATCGCCATATGATACATTGCTTGTTAGAAGCTTTGAAACACAAATATTGCGTGACCAGAAATACCTTTTAGCATTCATAGATTTATTTTCCCGATATTTATCCCCTATACATTTTCAAAATTAGCTCTATGTCCATATAAGAAAGTTCGTTCTGTTGCTCAAAAAGAACAAGAACAAATGTCGACAAATATTAACAATAATACATCATCATATTTCAGAATAAAGGTAATCATACCAGTATTTTCCAACCAATATTTAATGAATAGCTAAAAAATTTACACGGCTTTAATGTTTCCATAGAATCAAATTAACTCTCTATTTTTATAATGTATAGAAAAATATACTTTTGATATTTTAATATTAGTTTTATTATATATGCCCTACCCAGTGGCACAGCGGTATGTCTGTGGGCAGAGCACAGATAACTCTTTGTGTTTAATAAGAACAAACAACATATATTATATATTTAATGAGAAATAATTGAATCGTCATCGCATATTTAATAGTGTTTGATATTTCTTACAGATACGTTAAAACTCTTAGATAAGTATTTTTGATGTCGAAAATAAATATATCTAAATTTTAGCCTTAAACATAAATAAAAAAGAGTAATGAGTTTAAGATATCAATAGATTCTATAGAATTGTTATACTTCTAGCTGAAACATTATCTATTTTGTTGGTGAATGTGACCATATTTTATCAAAAATGAAAATTAAACAAATAACTAAACACAACTTTATAAAATCACTCCAGGAGTGATCACTCGACAAATTTAGTATTCGTTTTGAAATAGGAAGCAATATGTTATATAGAAATGTTGTTATGTATGGTTTTATTTTAATATTACATTAATCAAGTATTCATATTTTATAAAAACCTGAACTAGACAGAAGCATGAGAAAGCTACCATTTGTTAAAATCTAATGTTTCACATTGTTATTTCAAAAGATTATTATGTCTTCCACTATACCACTTTCCATAACCATTCACTTTGCAGTAGTTAACAATTAAACACGGCGACGGATATCATAGTACCTTTGATATAATTATAAGTACTCACCCTATAACCACGCTGTCGATGACAATATTTTTAAGCCGTATTTTTAAATATCTCACATCTTTCTCGCTCACATCAATATTAATAGCTTGCTCTCTGAATAATTCAAAATAATATATTAGAAGCATTAATGCTATATATATCTATACAAATAAGAGTTCTATGTGGTAATTAAAAGGCATAAACACTATACACATAACTTACAGATCATTGTTATAGGAACGTTGTTCCAGAGTTACTGATTAGGGATGGAATTTCCCAAAAATCTTGTGATTTAGTGACTTAGTGACGTATCAAATGATAAAGTGAACTTCACGCTTCCTTCCCGCTAAAATCCACAATTTCACCGATGAGAGAAAAACTATATTAACTTCGATGCTTTAATTTATTGTTATATCAATAGCTAGTTATACGATGAACAACACGGTAATAATTCATAATTTTAAGATTCTGATATAAGACACATTCGAAGTTAATTATATTACAAGACAATGGACAGTAGAAAAAAAAATGACTTCCTTTCTCATTGAATAAAACAAGTTTCTTCGTGTTTAGGCTAGAAATGTATCCTACACAACTCTGTAGCTAGGACAAGCCTTGATGAATAAATGTATCACCCAGGCTCATAAGATTATATCAACCCCGAAAGGACAGATAAAAGATCAATTATTTACAGTAGCCCAATTACCAGAACAATGATGTAATACGTGTATATCTCTTGCGGTAATAAGATGTTAGCGGTCAGCAGAAAGTGACCACCACCTCCCTCAGTCAACCAGGATCTACAGAAGTTGCACATTGTTTAAATGTTCCTACACTTAGAAAACTTTATTATTTTAATCAGATGCCTACTGTCTGTACTGGATCCCATGACTAACTAGAATTTAAAATAAAACAAATAATTGATTAAACGTAGATTTAGCGGGAATGCACGCCACAAACCCTATTTTCTTTACCTCAGTAGGTCTACAAATTAAACGTACCTCAAAATTAAATCCAATCAAGTTCTAGATTAACAATGCAGACACAATTCACGTGCACCACCCAAAAATTGCGAAAATCAGATAAAATGAAACCTCATAAACAATTTGAAAATACTTTCTCAGAACAATAGACACAATAGATCACCTATAGAGAGTTTGTGCTACATGTACGTCTTAAACATCAAATATTTACGCATATTGTGTGATAATAAATACACAAAAAAAGCCAAATAGTGAAGTGATCAAAACAAATTGGAATATAGATAAATATGTAAATTCATATAACCTTTAAACTTATAACAACAAAACAGAGCATTATGTTATGTAATATGTAAGCTCCTGTGGCACAAAAGCTAAACATAAATACACTCTCATTCAATTGTTATCCGGAGTTTCCCGCAAACCTATGCAAACAAGAACTATTCAATAAGTATTGAACTAATCTAACTACATTCGATGACGAGGATCCCACTTTGAGACTAATAATGGCTGGAGACAGCTTGAATGGGTAATGAAGAAAAACTTTAATATAAACCACTTTGATTACACAGAGACAGAGGTCAGTACACTAATTTTGTGACCTTTCAATCTAACCTTTTGCACCTGAACTGATTTAGCGTCGCCGTAGCAAGGGGTTTAATAATTATGCAGTTGTGAATATTAAAATCTTATTTGAAAATATATGTTTCTTACATATTATCAGTGTTTTTTAGCTTTCTAATTTGGAGTAGATTCTAAATATAAAGTCCATTTGAAAGTTTTGTGATTGCAAACTCAGAATTTGGGTCACAATCTAAGGACTAGTCGTTGTCTTAGTAGAAGTATCATAGGGTGCTGAACTATGTCCACAAATTCTTCTTGGTCATTAGTGTTAGGTATAACTTCCATCTTCTTCTTTTATATTCTGAGGCGTTATGATTGTTAAGTAGCTCTATTCAAAATTTACACTTCATTCCTTTTCTACTTTGCTTTCAGTGAGCCCCCCAGTGGCACAGCGGTATGTCTGCGGACTTACAACGCTAGAAACCGGGTTTCGATACCCGTGGTGGGCAGAGCACAGATAGCCCTTGTGTAGCTTTGTGCATGATTAAAAACAAACAAGCTTTCAGTGAATACAAGATTAAATATCATTCCATCTTAAAAAATCTTGAGTTACTCCGTTTCTTCTTACTTAAAAAAGTTTCGATATTCTTGAAAAGGTAAAAACACTGATGTTCCTGATTTATGAAATAAACATAAAGAGTAAAAGCGTGCACTAGTAAGTTGTAAGAAATTGATAATTTTAGATTATTATAGGTTCAGTCTTGA